AGGGGGGGCGGGGAAAAGGCGCGGGCCCCGCCGCCGGCGCCGCTCCCTGCGCTGAAACCAAAGGGTTTCATCCCACCCAGGGTTTCACCCGCCAGCATTTGCATGCGGGAGGAGCGGAAAATGACGGATTTTCGGTGCTGCATCCCTGCTGGGATTCACCCGCCCACGGGGCAACACCCCATCCTGCTCCCCATCCCCTCCCGACCAGCTCACAGCCTGGTTTCGCACCAAACCAAACCTTCCCCCCGGCTGGAACCGGGGGGAGACGAAGGAAAAACCACCTTTAGGAATGTCGAGGGTTTTGCAAATTCTTCGCCGTCAGCTCCCGTTCACCCTGATCCCATTTGGAATGAGTTCTCGCTCCGGGAGCCCCGTTGCGGCGAGTCCTCCCCCGGGGAACAGGCTCGCTGTGCTCCCAGCAAAGGCTGCGGAGCTCTCTTCCCATCCCAGCCCAGCGGAATCGCAATTTTCGGCTTAAACGCCAAATTTGGGCTGGAGATGAACCTGGAAAAAAGGTGCCAGGCTCTCGCAGCAGATGCTTCCTTTGCTTTTCCCAACTCTCAAAAACATTTCCTCCTCCTCTCTGATGTCCTCGCGCCCTTTAAAAAAAAAAAAAATCTGAACGAAAGGGCGTTGACGAGGCAGGAGAGGATCTGTCACCGGCAACGATCCGCTGCCGGGTAACAATATATGGATTTTTAAATTTTTTTTTTAATTTTTTTTTTTCCCCAGTGTTATAAAGGTTGCTCTGCAGATGCACGCCGGGCAGGAGCCGGCGCACTCGGTGGCGTTGGAATTTCTGAACTGCCAGCCTGAAGGCTGGCTGGTTCGTCGTCCTCAAAGCACGTGCAGAGATGCTGAAAGAGCTTTTTGGCTGTAAATCTTCCGGTCTTAATAAATGAGAGTTGGAAAAAAATCAAAAAAGTTAAAAAAGGGAAAAAAAAAAAAAGGGAAAAAAGGAAAAAAAAAAGCTAATAAAGGAAAAAAAAAGCTAAAAAAGGGAAAAAAAACTGAAAAAGGGAAAAATAGCTAAAAAAGGAAAAAAGCTAAAAAAAGGAGAAAAAGCTCAAAAAAGGAAAAAACTAAAAATAAAAAAAGAAAAAAGAAAAAAGCTACAGAAGGAAAAAAGCTAAAAAAGGAAAAGAAGAGCTAAAAAAAGGGAAAAAAAAGCTAAAAAGGGAAAAAAAGCTAAAAAAAGGAAAAAATAGCTGAAAAAGGAAAAACAAGCTAAAAAAAGGAAAACTAAAACTAAAGAAAGAAAAAAGAAAAAAGCTGAAGAAGGAAAAAAGCTAAGAAAGGAAAAAAAAGCTAAAAAAAGGAAAAAAAGCTAAAAAAGAAAAAAATAGCTAAAAACGGAAAAAAGCTAAAAAAAGGAAAACTAAAACTAAAGAAAGAAAAAAGAAAAAAGCTGAAGAAGAAAAAAAGCTAAAAGAGAAAAGCGAAAAAAAGGAAAAAAGCTAAAAAAGGAAAAAAGCTAAAAAGAAAAGAAAGAAACACACTAAAAAAGGAAAAAAGATAAAAAACTAAAAAAGAAAAACACTAAAAAAAGGAAAAAAAGATAAAAAAACTAGAAAAGAAAAAAGCTAGAAGAGAAAAAGCTAAAAATGGAAAAAAGCTCCACAGCTCAGGCTTCAGACAAGTTAGCATCTTTGTTGTGCTCAGCTGAAAGAACCGTAGAACTTGTCAGCTTGGAGTGCAAAAAGAAAAAACTAAAAAAGAAAAAACTGAAAAAAAACCCCCAAAACCTTAAAAAACTCCCTACAAAAGCTGGGACTACCATAAAAAAAAAGAAAAAAAAATCTAGAAACTCCCTGGGCTCAAGGCCGGTGTCGGGCGACGATATGACCGGGCGATGACGTTCCGGTTGCCC